AAGGACACGTGACAACATAAATGTCAATGATTGTATATCTCAGATATCCCATGATGCATTGCAAAATCACATTTTCATCTTTTTAAAATTATGACCATTGCAAAAAAGTAAGTACAGAAATGTAGACATACCGATTTCACAAAAGTGTCTAACGCCTCAACGAAACGGTAGTCAAATTTTATATTTTAACATTAGAACACGGCAAATCACAAACTTAAAAAAATAAAAAAAATCTATTAGAAGGAAATGGAAAATTATAAAAAGTAAGGGATTTTTCACTTTAACGAAATAATTTTTTAAATTCTGACCATCCTTGAAAATGACCATAGGCCTGACAATTCTACTAGGCTGCGCCCTCTGTCGGCGGTTGTATAGGGCTTAAGATTTGTAGCTGGCGATTGGGGGCGCTACTCGCTAGTTTTTGTCAATATCTATAAAGTTTGAAAGGCCAAGAAATACCACTGGATATGGAATACATTTGTAATTTGAAATTCATGACATACATGACCACAGACGTTGACGAAGACGGTGATGTTTAACTAAGACAAAATGTGGATAAATGTATTTTAAATTTCATTATGGGTGTTTTATGTATTTGATTTTAACAAGTGGTCTCAAAACAGGTGATTGACTGGCAAACAACTCGATATCACGTGACCACTAATAATCTTGGTTACAACTATAGAGTGACAACGTCGACGAAGGACAAATTAATATCATTCATTCAATAACATTGAGCTAACACAAGGTTAAAGTCTTCTTAATTACACCCAAGTCCAGAAGACTGTCAATATTTGAATAAATAAATACGTGTATTACTTTAATATCAATGACAATGTATTGTGCGGTCGATGACAAATATTGACAGTAGATGAAAGGAACGGTGATATGCTCATATGTGACTTTCTCAATATTTATTAATAATAGCTCCAAAGCAACTTCACAATAATAAATGTGTGCAAATAAAATGTCAGTGATGGAGTGATTATTTTCCATTTATACGTCAAATACAATTATTTCCACCTAATGGAAGTCACTTTAACAAGTCTTGTGGTGACATGTTTGATGAATAAGGAACGTTCTAGAATAAAAGATATAATACTAGTATCTGAATACGAGAGGTATGTTAGCTATTGGGTGGCGATGGTAAAACATTTTGTTATGTAACATTCTATAGCATTTTATCGTTGATTTGAATATACTGTGCAGAATGCATTTGATGCACAATTTCGCTTATTTAAAAAATAAAATAAAAAAAGTTGTGGCTAAACATTTCACCGACATTAACGTAGTCAGGCTGGGTCTATAGATGCGATATATATTGTCATGAAAACTATATATTTCTTGAGATAGCAGGTTATCAAATTTAGGATTATGGTTTCCACCAACAGTTACCTCCATTTTATCAATAAATTCGTGTATTCCACACCAAAACGAATTGTTTTATTTCCAGTATATGGATCCACACTATATGAACTGAATACACAATTGAGTCAAACTGTGTTTACGTCTAGAATAACGTACGAGTAGAAGAGAAATCGTTCATGTATTGAACACGGGGACCACAGGTTCGATCGCAATTTGAACGATTGCACGACCACGCACAAGTACATTACCCGGCATACAACACGTCAATCAGGAATACATTGGGTTCGTACGAATCCTCTCAATCTGAAGATTTGGCTAATTTTGTTTCTTTTGTTTCTCATTTCTTTTTCTTTTTACCCACATTCTGTCAACTTCACCTTGGGTTTGTACTGATCGACCACGTTCGATTTATTGTTTTGATATCCCCCGAGAAAAAAGAAGTCAGGAAGCCACGGTTATCGGAGTTATTATTACTTACTCCATGTTTATGACACGAGTGAATAGAAAAATCAGAAAAGTAGCACTGAATAATAAAATAAAAATCCCTGTCTCAAAATACGATGAGAGTATTTGGAAATAACACAACTTGAGATCCAGTTTACTCGTGATAGGTTTATTCGCATGCTATGAAACAAATTTAAGTTAATATTTTACAAGATTAATATCGGGACTGGGCAGATTAAAGTAAAAATGTAATAAATATAAAAGAAAGACTTTTTCCTGAATTTTGTTCAATATAGAGGGAGCACTGTGTTTGTAACTCATTGAAATTTAATAACATCTGTATCTTGTTCGGCACGGAGTTGTTAGGAATCCTTTCCCAGAGTGCTTCACGGACCGGAAATAGCCGCAATTACTAGTATTTGTTTCGATTGAATATTTACATAACTAGAAAAAAAAAACAATGATCATCTGAAACAAAGATCTTTAGAGATTAGTCATTTCAGCTTCGATTGTTCTGTTTACATCCCAACAACTATTTTGTTTCGTTGCAATAGAGCAGAACGATGGATAGTGAACTTCCAAATAGCGATCTACCAATATAGGCACCAGCTGTGAATTAAACAAAGATGGTAACACTGTAATACATGCCTCACAGACAACAACATGTGTAAGTATGTCATTAAGTCTCTGATATGTCCGAGTTTGAGCTGAAAAGCCTTTAGTTTCATAGTACAATCTGATTTACCAGCCATAGACAGAGGCTGGAAGTGGAGGGCTAGATGCAGATAAACCAAATATAGTATCACGGCGATAGAGCGTCACCTGCGCACGCACTGGAATTGAGTCCCACACGCTAAAAACGCAAAGGCTGATGGGTAGACACTTGTTGTAAATATTGACACGCTATGGCCATCTGACGCATGCGCAGGTGGCGACTCCCCCGCTTTAAGATAACGTTGCATTCTCTCTCTTTTATAAAACAAAAAGCTATAATGCCATTTAGGTAGTATGTTTGCAAAGCCGATTACAAAATAGAAGATGATTAATCTCACCTCGCTGTATCGTATCTCTGTATAAGAGTTATCTTCGGACACTGTCTGTATACCACTATTAATCACCTTGACTGGCGAATGGTGACTTTTCCTCTTCTTATTCATCATATACTGTATACATTTAGTAGACGGTAGAATATTGAAAGGGGGTGCCATTGCAGGTGCATTCACATAGTTCATCCATATTCTCGTTCTTTCAAACTTCCATATGACGTTGATGTTTTCCTGGAAAATTAGTACGAGTGCGGCAACTGAATGAATTGGTTGTCAGGGTGGTGACGTCACGAATCATGATGTTCTGTTTCTGTTTATCAGCGAAATCTTGTTTGCATGCACCAAAATTATCCCACTCATCACAACCCCTATCCCCATCCCCACCCCACCCACTCATCACAACCCCCATCCCCACCCCACCCCCATCCCCACCCACTCATCACAACCCCTATCCCCATCCCCACCCCCACTCATCACAACCCCCATCCCCATCCCCACCCCACCCCCACCGTCAAACAAGTAATACAGTTATTGTTTAAAATAAGAAGGAATACTTGATATACTATGTCTGCCGAAGTATGAATTGAAATTCTAGTTCGAATTAAAAAAATATTCATCACATAGAATATCACAAATGCTCTGGATAACAAAAAATCAATCATAATCCCCATTTCAGCAAAATGTAGAATGTAAATTCCCATTAAATGCTACCAGGAAGCCTTCTAGTACTTGTTCTGTCCTAGTACCACCTCAGCCGTTAAGTTATTGAATTAAGCAAGGTATATTCGGAATCAAGTGTAAAATGGCTTGCCAAACTCGTGTTATGTGTTACCTGTATTCTGTTGTAGGTATCAGCCATCATTGCAATACACAAGTTAACCAATACTAAGTTACACAATATGCCGAAAGCCGCGTATACCAATGCTCCCATATCTGAATGCATTTGTTCTACGCTCGAGATCTCATTTGCGGTGAGACTTCCATTGACGATATGGACCAGACCAGTAAATAACAATTCGTTGTCGTTGAATTCACCAAATAATGAATACACCAGCTCTTTTATTGAAGATGTCAAACTTTGCAAACATGAATCAAAATAAAATATAATGTTAAAACATGTATGTACGTCTAGATACAACACATATCTAAAACAATTACAGCGGACATCATAGAGTACAGCGGACATCATAGAGTACAGCGGACATCATGTGTTTTGGTCTGAGTTCACTTTAAATCACCAACAATTTACACTATGTATACTACCCGGGCTCATTTGTCTAGGCTTAGTATTTGAATTTTAAAAATTATTTATCTTTTATATGTCGACGAGCTCACGCTCGTAAGTTTTTCCAAAATTGGCCTGTAATGTCTACTAAATACCCTGCATGACTATTGTACCATAATAATAATTGAGAGTGATCCTTGGAATCATGATTATAAGGCCAAAGGTCAGTTAGTGCATACTATCCATTTAAACTGAAACCCTACCCTGAACTGATACTCTACCAGTGTCCATGTCCATTGAAATATTCAAATGCAAAATTCTTCTCATTTTACTGTATTTTTTATGAATCTAATGATATCGAGTGAATGCATCTCTGTAACAACACTTCATGACTGGGGGAATTTTTCCGGGCCAAAATTGTCAAGCAATTGCTCAACAAGATGTTGGAAACGAAAGGGTGTTTCTTTCTGTATTTTACATATACCCAATTGTCGGGGAAATTACACATTTTGGGAAAACTTGAAACGTATCCCTCCTTCAAAAAAAACTTGCATTTAACGTATGTGGCCAATCTTCTGTTTAGAAGGCTAAATTTCGAATCTCCGTCGGCACAACAACCTTAATATCGGACTCAGTCGTTTGAATAACATATATACGTTATAAATAAAATATACGTTATACAATATAAACTGTGTTGAAGATGAACTTTATTTTCTACAGTAAGCCATATTTATACTGACTTGTGGTCCAAGTATAATAATGCATTTCAGTTTTAATCTATTCCTGGTTCATACATTCCGTGAAATATGTAGACTGAGAAATCTTGGGAGATGTATCCTCAAGGCATTTAAATTAAAAGAGGGACACGTGACTGATATACAATTGCAATAATTTATTGAACTCGCGTAATTGAACTCGAGAGCTTACTTCTGCATTTCTCTTTGATGTCCTGTGCTTGGTACTTATGTAGCGCCCTCTAGCGACGACGCGCGTCTGTGACGTAATGCATGTGGTTCGCCACAACACAATGACTTCCATGTGTAGACAGTGAATGTTTAGAATACAGTAAACCACTGAAACATCATTGTTATTGAATGGCGATTACAGATCAATGCAATCAATTGTCCTCCATTTTACTTGCTGTCACCAGAGGGCACTACATATAAGAACCAACCTTTGCGAATGACTTCAGGTAACCAAGGGAAATAGAACAAGCAACGAGAAAGTGATGGACCAATCGGAATGCCAGATTCGTTGCTAGTTATAGGCCTCTTGTGGTTTGGTACGCCATGACACTTGAGGCGGGAACCAGCCAAATGAGAACCGCTGCAATATATGAAAAACTACTACAGCGACTTACCTTGTGTATCCGTCATTTGCGACGCCACCTTCATTCCCAGCATAAATGCAGAACAAGGACACAGCAAATGCGAGGACGACAATGGTGAACAGACAGAGGAATCGTATAACATGGCCCTTTATAGACATGAACGCAAGCAGCAAAGGTCCAAGTACAGAACTCACATACAGATAGTTTATAATATGTAAAAACGGTATGGCCGCAAGGAATGCCGGGATGGAGTGGGTTAGTAAATAATCTGCGAAGCTGAGCGATAGGCATGACAACACAAGTGAATCAATACCAAAAATCAACAACGTTAAAAACATCACCAAATTCCAGAAATTAGTAAAATAGACTTTAAACCCGGCTATGTAAGCTTTTTGTAATTTACCATAAAGGATACCAATAATCCAGATTATTTCTAGTATTCTGATTATTTCTAGCAATGGATGGTTGCCCTGGTGATTCAACATACTCAAAACCGGCAACAAAGTTGCGAGTACAAACAGGATAAGAAAAGCCATGTACGAAAATAGATGCATAAAAAATTTACTTTTGGGGCCTTCGATAAAAGCGCATATGCTACTACAGGGGAAAAGAATGTAGACGAGTGATACGATTGGTTGAAGAACTCCGTATAGTATAACGGCGTAGACAGCGTAAACTAGCGTCCACGACCACCCCTCACGAAGCGACCAGGATGGCTGACCTTTGACCCACTCTTGGCGGATTGTATGCTGGAACTTTGCTGCTGCTACAAACTAGAGAGTAATGAAGAAAACAACATAACGACAAGTCATATCAAGACTGCGAGGTTTTAAAGGACGTCTTGTTCAACTATTGACAATAATTATGGTTTAAAACAAACTTGATAAACAGAAGACAGATAAAGGCTTGTACAAGCCAATACGTATACGTTTTTTTTCAGTGTTCAAAAGTGGGTTGTAATCGTTGCTCGCCTCTGCATTGCTATACCGAACCGAACGTTTTTATCTTGTTGAATATATTATTTATTTATTATTTTATTGGTGTGTCCTGTGATACGTCTTTCCATATGTTTGATTCATTATTCTCAATAAAGTATGTTTGATTTATCATAGTTTTAATTAATTTTTGTGGCTGGAAAAGTGTCACATTTCAAGATAGAAAGTTCCATTGTTTCAATATCATTTCCACAACAGGAACATGTACAATCCTTTGAATCTGTCTGCATCATTTTCTATTTTTCACATACCTGGCCTTGGGTATATGATCTTGCTTTAACTTAAGTTGTTCAAGGAATTGAGATAACTTTCACGTTACTTTTTCTTGATTTTTGAAACTAACTCGTCAATATCTACAGCATTTTTTATAGTATATTATTTTATTAATTAAACGTTATATATTCTTCATTTTTTGGGCTGATAAAATAAATAGTTATGCGCTTACTCGTTTTTGTTTGTTGTTGACAGCTAGCTGAGCAAGTTTCCACGTTCGATGGTGCATTGACCGAGGTTTGTCACACATATTTCCATGTAGCAACACCTTGCATTCTTCTGACATGTAGCAGGAGTTCAACATTGCAATCAAAAAATCTTCAACTTGAATTTCTAACTTTGAATAATCTTCCTGACAAATAAACAGTAATTGACATTCATTAGCCCGTCTTATACGTAGCGCCCTCTAGTAACAATGCGCTTCTGTGACGTTAATGGGTGTTAATCCCGCTGTGGAGTGAAACCGATGACGTCATAGCATCTTGGGGTCTTTCTAGATTTAAATTGTCTTCCGTTCTGCGCCTGTGAATCTTTGCCATTTTATACAGCTTATTTCGTGTTGAGGGACTGTGCTCATACCTATCATTACTATCATGCTTTGAACGACATCGTCTTCACCATTTACATCATTTTGACGTCACAGGAGCAAGTCGTCGCCAGGGGGCGCGACTTATAGGGAAAGTTGTGTTAGATACATGCTTTACCGATAATAAAAAAAACACGGATATATAAATAAATCACTACACATGATATTCCAAATATACATATGTTTAATGGCACACCTTCCATGTGTCCGATATGAATGTGGAATGAGTGATGTCATACAGCTTGCTAGCTAAATCCAACGCAGCCATTACAGGATCCTCGTGAAAGTACAATAAATATACAGGAGCTCGAGAGGGCGGTAAATACACCTATTCGATGCTGTTCTGTCTGTATGTCCCCAGATGTTGCTGCTTTGCGGGAAGAAATATATACCTATTAATTCGAATATATTCTGAATACTGATTAGTTTCCATTACGGTTCCTGTCACAGTGTTTTAAAGGTTGTACCTATTGTGTGGATCAACATGCTCACAGTTATATCATATATATTAAGTTTTGTTTCTTGAAAGATTCAGCTATTACTTTCAACTCAAAAAAGTTACTCTCTAAAATACCAATAACTTCTTGGAACTACTACATATAAATAAACATTGTCGTAATTTTTTTAGAATAATTATTTTGATCAAGTTAGAATTTGACGTCAGTTATGTGGTCACAAAAGGTACATGGACCCCTTAAGTGACCGTTTTACCTTCCACTGATGGTGTGTTGAGACTATTGGCTCCGAGCCCAGCTAGAAGTCGTACCATAGCAAAGTCGTTTTTCTGCGCCGATAGCTGAAGTGCTGTCGTTGGTAGTCTATGATACAATCTCGTGATATTAACATTGATCCCATACTCCTGCAATTGAATTATTATTTTGCAAATCTCAGGGTGCTTCAACTCTACATCATACTTTATTTGAAAATTAGAAAATGAAAATTTCCAATACATTAATTGATATCAGTAAAATTGTCATCATATCCCAGCCTTAATAACAAACACACGTGTTATATTATTTGCATTATATGGCTGGAATTGGTCTCTTTAGCACTATCATAATTTATCTTCTCATAATTATGCACAGTTTTATGTATTTTTAGACAATGTTTGTTAATATTTAACTAAATAACACAATTTCCCATTGCCGACTATTTATGGTTAATTGTTTTGAAAGGACAGGGAAATACGTGTGCCAAAATTTAACATTTAAAATTTAACATGGGGGGGGGGATCTGCTCACCATCCCTCGCGCCGAAATATTTCCTGCATTTTGAGGGTCAAATTTCGCTGACACAGATTGGTTTTGGGGGTGCGACGCATTCCCTCTGTGCCGCCGCCACTGATATTGATGTTGAAAGACTTTATAAGCATTTATATTAGCTATGAATTGCGTAAACGTGTTTCAGTTATAACGATTGTGCGATTTGTTAATTGAAATCTATGCGGTGGTATTTTTTTAATTCATGTAAAGTTGGTTAACGAGTTCTAATCGTTTTGATTTAGATGTCTATCATCACCTCCCCCTCCGAACAGTGTTTAATTATAACAACAATTTTAAATGCACACTAACAAATAATCCAATAATCTCATCTCATTTCTATTTGCCGTACGAGTTAATGAGTATGTAGATTACAGACTAGTTTCCATGACAACATATTGCCATACAAATCAAAACATAGCTAATTGATTTAATGGTATATTGAAGTTCTTTACGTACCATTATTTTATTTTTTTAATTATCATTTTGATAGACTACTTCCTTCTGTCAACTGTGTATTGAATTTCAATTACGTATATATTGAGCGAGAATTAAAGTGTTGCTGATTGTGAGTGGCTTCATTGCTGTTTTCACTGCAAAAGTAAATACCTTACTATTTCAAGAAATAATATATTCGGTGCGCCGTGTTGTTGTCTGTCATTGATAAGTGGAAATCATAATGAAAATACACTTATAATTGAAATACAAAACTTTTGCCTGGGATTATTTTACAATATAAATACGATACAAGTATATTGATGATATATAGCTTTGTTTACAATATAATGATTGTCAATCGTGTTTAATTTCCCGGTTATAACAGTTCTCTGATCTCATCAAATATTTAAATATTAAAACAGTTGAAATGTGTATTTATAAAATTGATATATTAGAAGTGATTTGGACGTCGTCAATGTTGATTGTACTGAAAACAACAAAAACAACCAAAGAAAATTAAAAACTAAACTGTAAGTTGTGTAAACATTTTAAAACTGAATAGGTAAACGCCACCAAAGCAGCATGAGTCATGAAATTTACACCATTTGAACAGCTGTACTCTAAGTATCATTTATGATTATAATTCAGAAATTGTAGATGCCTACAGGGACACAGCATCCAGATAGCTTTCTCGTCTTCGGTTCACGGGTGACATGACGTATCACCCTTTTTAACAAAGATGTATGGCACTATTCTCAATAACGAACAATGAACCACGAACAATGAGACACAAAAAATCCATTACACACTGAGAGATTAACGTTGACAGATCAAAACTAAGAATTCAGTTATTACGTTGTAAATTTTGCTCACAA